TGTTTTGGTGCCTGTGGGTGATGTTGGGTTTTTAGCGGGTAGTGGTGTTGCTGCGATTCCTGCCGCATCCGCCTGCACCACGCTCGTCTACGGCGGAGAAAGTTGAACAAAGGGAATAGATCAGTCAATGAAGACACTCAAAAACGACTAACCTAAGTATGCATCCGAACGCACTATCAAAAGTTATGCAGCTATAATTAAAATGCCAGCCTTTGTGTATAGAAATGTCCACACTCGTATGTACATAGTCTGAACTGCATGATGTGTATGGGTCTACACATACTGTAGGCGCCCGAGTATCGAATACGTCTGCATATACATATAAACTCTAATGTGTGGTGCTTTGCCAATCGTGTATGATCCTGATTTCCGTGCTCATTCAATAACCACACCACAACGCATCCGTCAACCGCGTACCGAGTGTGGGTGCACTCTAATGACAATGTTAACCCATAACATAATCAGAGGATATTAGAATAGTATGTATCTCCATACATGTGATCTGCTTTACGTACATGGTCAATGTATAAGTTCAAGGTCACGTTCATACTCTTAAGTCTGCTGTCGCCATACATGTGAGTCCAAGCCAGATACGCGTGGGTTGGAAGACACATGCGCCATTATAGAAAAACTACAAATAACGGTAATAAACAGAACCAAGCAGGACAAGTGTTTCCATGGCAACACAAAGCAATCATGACGCAATGTGATCCAAAATCGGATAGTCGCAGTCGGTACGTGGGGTATATTCAGTGCGCGCTAGTGCGACGGGAGAAGGGTGTTACCTGTAAAGCTGCCTGTTGCTCGGTGTTTAGGGTGGCCTGCTTGGTGGTTGCGCCGTGGATAGCCTCACCTGCATTGAGATAAGTTCGGAACAAATGAGGTGCAGGTAGGCAGGCAATAAGGTGAAAAATGCAGTCACGCAGTCACTCCCAGTCACTATTCGATGGACTTGCAATGAAAGCCTACAACCCTAAACCATCAAGCCAATGACTAGAGAACTCCTAAACCCTAGTCACTCAAGTCAAACAAGCGTCCAGAGCGCAACACCCCTGAACTACATCCAGCAGACAGGTCAAAAATAAAATATCCAAGTGGACTGCAAGCTCAATACATTGCTGCAAACACATAGTACCTGTCGCAGCTGTTGTTGCCGTTGGGTGGCCAGAGTCTTCACTGGCAGCCGAGAGGGCAGTCTTTACGCCGACGCTTTCGGGTTGCACCACCGCGTCATTCTGTGCCGAAATTGGGTCCAATGTCGCAAATGCGCTGTCGCCCGTGGTGACCGGGTGCACAGTGCCTGCTGCGTTGGTCGTGAACACTTTGGAAGTGTTGAACACGTCGTGTAGCGTGGGTGTCGCGGGTCGTTTGCGTGGCGATGACCTGGCATTCGGGTCAGATTGGTGCCGTATGGAACTCGCTAGCTCTTGTCCCGCTTTATCTTTATCCGATACCGCTTTAACTGTAGCAGGCGTGGGCGAAGACGAAGACACGGCCCCCTTTTCTTTCAGGCCCTTTTTACCCGTCTTTTCGGTTGCCATGGCAACTGTTCCCATACTCGTACCCACAGTGGGCGCTGGTGTCTTGCCTATGACCTGTGGGGTTGTTGTGCTACCAGCACCTGTCGTGCCGTTGCTGGTGGGGTGCTGTGTGGTGGTCGTGGGCGTGTCTGTCTGTGCGCGGGTGTTTGCCACGGCACTCACAGCACTGCTGCCGGTCACACCTCCCAACACCTGCGCACTGTCTCCATTGCCACTGTGCACAGTCACGCCTGCCACCGTGGCTGAAGCCTTCGCATCGGTTGACCCTGCAGCTGAGTGTATGGCTGACTTCTCTTGTAATACAGCTGAGTGTATGGTTGACTTCTCCTGCATTACAGCTGTGTGTACGGTTGTCTTCTCCTGGATTGCAGCAGGCGAGGGCGTGTCTGTGTGTGGAGCCGTGTACGCCGTTGCGACGGTGTGTGCGCTTAGCTTGGTCGGTGGTGCCGTCTGTGGTGTTGCGATGGGGACGCCTGTGGGTGTGGCGCTGGACGGTCGCAGTTGGGCCGTGTGGTGCGTGCGCAGAGTGTCTGTATCAGATGCACTGCCTACCACAGCGACAGCCTGGTCTGTTGTGTTGCTTACCATGATGATTGACTGGTCTTTTGTGTTGACTGCCATAGCGACCGTCCGGTCTACGTCTTTCGTGTGTTCTGGCTGTGCTTGCGGGTGTGGCGTGGCGCCCTTTGTGGCACTTGCGCTTGTCTTGGGAGTAGTAGTAGTAGTAGTAGCAGTGGTGGTGGTGGTGGTGATGATGGTGGTGGTAGGGGGAGTGATGAGCTGTGGTGTGGGTGTGACTTTGTCTGTGGACGTGACGCCTGCGTGTTTGGTAACTGTTACTTTGGTGAGCGCCTTGGTCACCACTTTTGCCGCAGGTATCTTTGCATGCACCTTGGTGATCGTCTTAGAGCCTGACGCAGCCATTGGCTTGTTAGTAGGCCGAGGTGACTTCGGGGCAGTCACAGTCCCTTTTGCGGGTGCAGGGTTTGGGCTTTTGAACCCGTTGCTCTTCACGGGTGCAGGTGTGGCCATGGTGCTTATAATGGAGATCGCTTGCTTTGCCCCTGCATTCGTGGTAGGTAGACTGCTTGCCTGACTCCCCAGGTGGTGGGTGTTTGGCTGTGCAGTTGCCCTGACTGTTGCAGCTGTGCTTTCCGTATCTTTGGCTGTGGCTGTGGTTGCATTGCTGTCCCTAGAGACTGGCTGTGCCCTGTCCTTGGTGCCTGTTGGGTTTTTAGGGTTTGGCTCACTTGCTGACGTGGTGGGTGTGCCTATGCTTGCGGCCGTGGGTGGGTGTGAGATCACCTGGTGGTTGGTGGGTATGTGAGGGCTGGTGCTAGCCTGAGCCTTCGTGGGCAGCCTAGGCTGTGCGGTCGCCTGAGCTGTTATCGGGGCCTTTGCGTGACTTTTCTTCTGAGGTGACTGTGTTGTGCGTGTGCGCGTGTCCACAGTTGCAGTGACTTTACCTACCGTTGCCTTGTCGGTTATTCCCATCTGTGTGGGTGGGGTAGGGGTGGCTGAGCCTATCGCACTCACGCGTGCGCCTGCTACATGTACCGGTGACTGTGTCTGCGTCTTTGTCTGTGTGTGAGACTTGTTGGGCTGTGTGGTTGGCTGTGGCTGTGGCTGAGTGTGTGGCAGTGCTCGTGCGGCTGGCTGTGCCTGTGAGATCACCTGTGGGCGTGGGGTGGGTTGTGGCTGTGGCTGGGTTGCGAGTGTTGACATGCTGGGTGGTTTGCTGAGGGCCTGCATGTTTGCCGTTGCCTGTGGCTTCTGCAGTGCATGGTTGGTCGCGTGTGTCTGTGTCTGTGCCTGCGTGCTTGGCCCCTGGAGGTGTGTGACCTGCCCTCGCGCGTGTGTGGTGTGACCTGGCTGTGGTGTGGCGTACACCACCCCTTGCGTGACTGTGTGTGGCTGTTCGGGTGCCGTGGGGCGCCCGTTTGCTTTTGCCTTCTGGGGCTGGGCCTTTTTCTGCGCCTTTGGCTGAGTCTTCGCCTGTGCCTGGGTGTGGCCGTTTGAGAGCGCTTGTGCCGGCACAGCTGCCTCCGTACCTCCTCCTAGTGCGTTTGCATTTGCATTTGTCTGTGCATGTGGACCACCTTTCTCGTGAGCACTCTTGGTTGCTGCGCCTGTGTAGTGTGTGCTGCGTCCGTCGGCTGTAGTCTTGGCCGCAGGTTTAGCCACCGGCTTGAGAGTGCCTGCGCCTATCACACGTGGCTTGTTTATCTTTGTGCCTTTCCCAGCCACACCCCCTGCCGCTGTTGCAATAGGTGGTGCGGCAGCGTTGCCTAAGTTCGGGCGCGCGTGCTGTGGCCGTGGGGTGGGCAAGGGTGGAGGTGGGGGTGGTTGCTGTCCGCTCGCCCGTGTGAGCTGCACAGCTGCCAGTGCCTGTTGTGTGGCTGGTTGAGGTTGTGTGCTGATGATGCCCTTGGCCACGTGAGTCACAGACGACGCACTTTCGTCCTCCGAGGCGAAGTGGTCGATTGAGGCTTTGGTGAGATCGCCGTCCAGTGCTTCGTCTGTCCCCGTTCCTGCGCCTGGGACTGCCCTGGCCCTGTCATGTCCTGCGCTCGTTGGGGCCAGGTTTGTGGGGTGGGGCGCGGGTGCGTCTGTCGCAGCAACCGAGACCTTCAGTCGCTTGAGCTTGATCATCAGCTTAGGGTTGGACTGTGTGGTGGTGGTGGGGGGTGGCTGTGTCCTGTGGTTGTCGCCGCTGTCGACGTCAATGAGTGTGCGTATCTCCTTGCCCCTGTCTTCGCGTGCTTTCTTCTTGTTCTTCTTGCGTGAGTTCTGAGGCTGGCTGTTGCGCCTGGTGCCCTTTGACTGTGGGGAGTGTTTGTGTTTGTTGCGGTGGTGTGTATTAGCATGAGGCAGATGACAGATGGTACGAAATGTAAACATTACTCTGACCCAATCAAATCAGCTACAATACTCTACAACTGCCTTGGACAAGTGAGATGGACGTACCTTCGATGACTTGTGCCGTTTAGAAGGCATGTCGGTTACCAGTTGGGGCGGCGCACACATTTGCAGGGCCATGTGTTTGATGGTGTTGTATGGTCTGTAGACTGCTAAGTCATGCTGGGCTGGTAGTTGGATCAGGTTTACATCCCCTGGCTGGAGGTACAGATCTGAGGCGGACGATTTGATTGGCGGGTATTAATAGATTGTCCTGCGGCATTTCTATTCGTGGACAGCCCACGTGTTTGAATTCGCGGAATGTTTGAATTTGTATTTCTTCAATACTACGGCTGACACATGTTAGTGCACACGTAATTAAGATATGTCAACGACGCATGCCAATGACACAGATATTTGCGCCATATGAACGCTCGCACGTGTGCGTGTGAGGAGCGATTTAAGCACAGGGTGTAGTGATGGTCCGTATTGATGTGTGTCCAGTGGTCTTGTCACTTGCACGTGTGTGCTGTGGTGCTTGCAAGTAGCTGTGATGTTTCAAGCGCTTATTCGCAGTTGTACATACCTAAAAACCCTAAAACCCTAAAACATACCTGATGTGGGGTCGCCATAGAGTGCCTGCACTTTGGCGGAGTATCTTTGCAGCGGTCGGATCGGTTCCGGATTGTGCGCAAAGCAAACCCATTTGTCTGCAAAAATATGCATTACCAAAAACAAAAACAAAAGGACTGTCAGCGGATGCGAATGGGTAGACTACGGAATGGGCATTACAGGACAGGACAAAGAAAAACAGGACAGGACAGCCCAACGATAGACAGGACAGGAGAAAGATAAATAGGACAGGACAGGCCAAAGATAAACAGGACAGGACAGGACAAAGATAAACAGGACAGGACAGGCCAAGATAGACAGGTCAGGTCAGGTCAAAGATAGACAGGACGGACAGGACAGGCATCAGACCCACACATACACCAAGGGGACTTATGCATAATTACACTGGATGATAAATGCATTGAAGGGAAAAAGAATGTATAACGGTTTAGGGGTTTTAGTGGTCCGAGATTCAACTAGAATACAAATGTATTACACAAGCAATACACGCACTGCAGCAACGCAGAATACGATACACACACGTATATATAAGCGCTAAAACAAGACAACTATATACCTACACTGGCTTTATGTTATAAGGTCTTTGCACGCTCTAGCTACTGTATACTACACATGTTATAAAGCCTTTGCAATCACTAGCTACTGTATACTACACATGTTATAAAGTGTTTGCAATCACTAGCTACTGTATACTACACATGTTATAAAGTGTTTGCAATCACTAGCTACTGTATACTACACATGTTATAAAGTGTTAGCAATCACTAGCTACTGTATACTACACATGTTATAGCACACTCTGCACACACCTACAGCCTTTGCAATCATTAGCTACTGTATACTACACATGTTATAAAGCCTTTGTAATCACTAGCTACTGTATACTACACATGTTATAGTACACTCTGCACAGACCTGCAGCCTTTGCGGCATCGAAGACGTGTTTGGGCAAACAGCCACGGACGCACTCGTGACAGAAGATCTTCGGACAGACCACACACTTGAACACATCACGACACCGCCAGTAATTGGCGCACCACCTGTGCACACGGACGAAGGAGACACGGAAGTGCACAGGACGATGAGAACGGGTGTGTATGTGTGATAGTGAGATGGTGGTGGTGGTGTGTGTGTGTATTGAGAATAGAGCGTATGTATATGTGTCATAGTAAGTTATAGGTATGTTTGTATATGTCATAGGGATGCATGTGTGCATGTTGATAGAGACGCATATATGTGTTGAAGTGAGATATAGATGTTTTTGAGGTGGCTGTGTCTCTGTGTGTGTGTTGTAGGTGTAGAGGTGTGTGTCATGTAGGTACACAGGTGTCTTGTGTATGAGCTTGGAGGGGCATGTACAGGCGCAGAGATATAAATGTGTGTGACATACGAGCACTTGACACTTTTAGGTTTACATACACTGTGATCCCAGCATACACTCAATACGACAACCCTCATCCATCACTACAGAAGCAGCTACTTATGCAATGAGCGATTGTAATATCACAGCCCAAACAACCATCACCTACACAGACAAAGCACACGAGCATGCATATAACAAACACCACAAACATACACAGCTACGCATACTATACACCAATGCAAACACCTCCATACGCACACACTGCATCAGCAACATACACTTGCCACTGCACATGTGCCTGTACACGCAATCCAGAACTAGGCATACTGGTAAGCAAATAGAAACACAACACACAACCATACACACATAGAAACACAACACACAACCATGCACATATACGAACACAACACACAACCATGCACATATAGAAACACAACACAAAACCATGCACATATAGAAACACAATTCGCAAGCATGCATACGGATGATGACTCTACGGATAAAATATATCCATGAGAAAGCCATCGCGAGCAGCTGTACTGACATCCAAACCACTAAAGCACCTGTATAAACACACACACACACACATACACACACACACACACACACACACCCGCACACACACACCCACACACGCACCTGCAAGCGAGTTCGTGTGGTCGACGGTCCAAGATCCACCGATTGCGCAGAGTGCGTTCGTTGTACCGCACAATACAGCCGTTGCACAGCAGCACCTTCAGGAACGGGTGCTGGCCAAACCCAGTGCTACGCCCGTGGGAGGCCTTGCCCCCACTGTCAGGGCCATTGTTGGGATTTCCAAGGCCTTTATTGGTGCCATTTGGATGATTCTGGGGGGCGGTTGACCCGTTGGTCGGTTGGGTGAGTGCGGAGGGTATCTGCATGGCTCGGAGGGCGTTGGTGTAGCCGCTAGGCCCAACTGTCTGACAACATACGGTGCACCTGTGGAGGATGGTCAGGACGCGTTAGCTGCACCTAAATATACAAGACAGGACCGAGGATACACTCAAACGGGACAAACGGGACTGTACACAGGATGGCGTTAGTTTAACTGTCAATCCACAACCATTGGCTAAGCGTGATAGCTGTGATGTGCACCTGCACATGACAGCAGGGCGTGGGTGCTTGGGTGTGCATTTGGGCACAGAGACAGAGCGAGGTAGCAGTAGCGTGCGAGTGGATGTATGGACTTATGAATGCAAACACGGAACTTCCGCATTCGCGGTGCATTCGCGGTGCATACAAAGTGCTTACACGTGTGTTTGTGTTTGTGTATGTATGTGTGTGTGTGAGTGTGTGTGTGTGTGTGAGTGTGTGTGTGTTTGTGCGTGTATGTTTTTGTGTGTGTGTGTGTGTAGTCTGATGCCTCACCTGGGCGTTTCGTATGAGACGGGAAGTGTCATGTCCACCACTCTTGATGAGAGAGGCAGTGCCACAGTGTTTGTGTTGTCGTCGGCATCCAGGTCAATCACCCCATCCACTGACCTGTGACCAAAATTGAACGAATGCGTTTACGGCCGAGTTTAGGTTGAGGATGAGTGCGCGGTGATAAGCTCTACCTGCGGATAGACCAAGTACACGCACAAGACCTACCGTTTAAGTACACGCACAAGGTCTACCCTATAAGTACACGCACAAGGCTTACCGTTTAAGTACACGCACAAGGTTTAAGTACACGCACAAGGCCTACCGTTTAAGTACACGCACAAGGTCTACCCTATAAGTACACGCACAAGGCCTACCGTTTAAGTACACGCACAAGGTTTAAGTACACGCACAAGGCCTACCGTTTAAGTACACACACAAGGCTAAGTTTCATGAATGGATGTCAGAAAGTGTGCATACCAGAATATTGTTCATATAATTATACTGTGCGGAAGTCCGTGAAGGGACGATGCAGACGCACAGGCATGTACACATATCTACCACGACAGAACACCACACCCCTTGGCCGCCATGAGCCAAAGTACCTGAGAATGGGTCGAATGGTGCGATACTCGGACTCTGAGTCGGGTTCCGAGTCCAGAGCCAAAATGTCCTTCACTTGGGACACAGGACCGGTCCTAATCTTCAGGGCCGCGGGGATGGTTACAGGCGCACACAGCCCATTACAGGCATATCTCACACCCTGGCCACTGATCGGCCCATCAATGCTGGCCTGGTCCTGCGCCCAGGCACTCCCCTTGTGGTGCGTGTGCGTGTGCGTGCTATTGCCACTGTCACTGTGCTTGTGTCTGTGCATGGCCCTGCCATTGCCATTGCCATTGCCGTCGCTCTCGTGGCTGCTGTCCATGGCGTTGTGTGTGTGTGGCATGAGGGGCGCGTCTTCGTCTGACACGTGGCCTCGTTTGTGCGTGTCTCTGAGTGTGTCTGTGTGTGTGTGGCGTGTGCTGGGTTCGTTGTCGTGTGCCCTGTCCTGTTTCTCCGCCTGTTGGGTGCGGGTGCTGTCCTTGGCCGTGCGTGGGCCGTCGTCCTTCTTATTGCGCTTGCGTGCTGTTGCGGCTATTGTGTCTCTGCTGCGTTTCTTAGCTTTAGCGTGGGGTGCTGTGCCACTCTCAGTCGAGTGCGGGGATTTGCGCTTAACGGCTTTGGAGTGGGAGGTGCCACTGCCACTGCCATTGGCGGGTGCACTGGTGGGCACTGTGCCTGTAGATGGCACACACGAGTAAGAACGAACGCATCAGAGCCAGACAATGCCAAAGATAGGGTAAAACAAGAACATGTGCATGTATGTGTCAAACCTACGCATTTTGAGGAATATATACACAGATACGATATATATATATATATAGATATATATATAGATATAGGTATACATGTATATATATATATATATACATATGTATATATATACATATATCGTTGCATATTGACAAAGACAAAAAGGAAAAAGAAACGAAACGACAAGTGTACACCTGAAGTTGCAGAACATAGCAGACATGTAGAATGCAGTGATCACAGTTGCACATGCAGTTATTGCCCAACACACACGCGCAGTGTTCCCAACGTACCTGCTTGGATAGCTTTGCATTTGGCTACCAGACCCTCGAGAGGCTTAGGATCACAAAAGAAGCATGTCCACTCATCTGCACGGATGGCAAGTAATGGGGTGTTAATATTGAAGTGTGAGCACATGCGTTAGAGATTAATATGTTGTGGTGATGTATGTGATGCGTGTTGTTAATAAACGAGAGCGCACAAGGCGGGTGAGATATTCATCGGTTGACACAGACGGTGACCAATTCAGTGCAAATAGTCTGTCGGGGATTGCAGGTATATATATATATATATACATACATATACATATATATATATATATATATATATATATATATATATATATATATATATATATATATATATATATATATATATATATAATAATAATATATATATATATATATATATATATATATATATATATATATATATATATATATATATATATATTATNTATTATATATTATATATAATATATATATAT